GGTTATAATTGTGCGTTATTAATGCGGATCAGCTGGAAAGTTAACGGGAAAGCGGATGGCTTCAGAACAACCGTTGGCATGTCGGAAACCTTTGCACCGTCATGACTGGGGCTGTTTACGGCTATGTTATTTTCATGAAGTTTATGGTGCAGCGCTGAAGTCCGTTTCCATGCCATCAGCCAGCTAAAAGAAATTTATGCTCTACAGCTACGTAGAGCGCCGTCGCGAGTGGTCGTATAGCGCTTTCGCTCCGCTACGAGTCCAGGTTACGCAACGCCTGCGCGATGGGTGGAGTTCGTTCACAAATCCGAACGTTTAACATCAGCAAGGAAAAGATCAGTATTGCCTGCTGGAACCAAATGTCATTAATTTTGGTACTCAGCTCTTGACTCTGATACCCCAGATGACGACGACAACAATAAGAATAAAATTCATAAGGAAAAAAATTGACTGACCCGACAGAAGTTATAATTTGGGACATTTCGGTTCTGAGTCACATGTTCTACCCACAGACCTCACTGTTCTTACAGCAAATCAAAAGGACGGTTAAATATTATCACTGTACAGAACTCGTTTACCTGTCTCACAAGGAAAAAAATGCTAGTCAACGACAGGCCCTCCCAGAAAACAACTTGTTAATGCGTTTTTAATATCAGGGTTGTCGGTGTTATCGCATAATATCAATTCGTTTCACAAAATGACGACAGTGGAAGAAAAGATGGATCGTGCTGTGGTTAGCAGACCAGTTGGGGCAAAAGCATTTCGTACTAACTGAAGCAGTGATTTACCAAAATGAAACTCAGTTGGCAATGCGTGAAGTGAATGCGACTGCGGTTCCATAACAAACCGGTTTATTTCAATAGATATACACTTCGCCGTCAAAAACGAATAAACAAAGATGGTCCTTCTTACAGCTTGTTTGTTCGTCAGTGTGAATGGACCAACGAGTCTCCAGAATTTGACGATTTCTTTCTGGTGGTGGGCCAGTTGCTAGGAATAAATGGTCTGTTCCTGTTGTGAGTCGTGGGGGCGAAT